GGGGGGGGGCTAGAATCCCCTTCTCTGCTCATCACTTTGGGGCAGTGCTGTCTTTTTCTTAAGACCCATATAGAGATTTGCCAATTCATAAGTCCTCCCCTGACTAATAATAGGTGCAGACTCAAGCGAAAAAGTTGTAAAATCACTGGAGAGGCTGTTGGGACGTACAACTGAACACAGCTGGGGCAGCTATGGATGTGGGGGGAAGGTGTCAAGATCTCGTCCGCATGATTGAAGCCCTGCCTCTTTTTTACCTGTGGAACTTCTAGCTCCAAATAAATTTTTAAAATGCCAGTTCCAGTACAGGTCCCCAGTGGAGCCCGCTTTGCATGTCCCTCCATTTATTCCAGGACGGGCAACCTTTTTTTCAGCCTGCAGGTCATGCTGTGTGTTTCTATCCTACTGGAGGGCTGCAAGAGCATGGGCAGTGATGTCGTGTTGTAGGAATGGGCAGAACCAAAGGCTTTTGACCTTTATTTTGCGTTTTTGCAATATTGGTGCCCTAACCAGATCTAATGGTCCAGTCACAGACTAATAAGGACTTAGGAGATGGTTTTGTAAACAGCCACCTACTAAGTCCTCTCTTGTTGTGTAAAGACCCTTGCTGACTATTAAAACAGACTCCATCCTAATGTATTGGGGGGCAAATTCATAATAATGTCACCCAACTCCCAGCGACTCCAGGTAGTTTCAAAAATTGTTTCAAAACTGGAAATAGTTTAGTTGCTAAAATTCTTACTCTATCCATCTCGATAAATCTTGTTGAAGAAGACTCTGAGAATCTGGGGTGGATGAATTAGTTTTGGTTGAGGCAGCTGCGAAAGAACTTGACACAACTCCTGGTTGGCATGACGCCCTCTAGATTTTCTGGGATACGGTGGCAACCCTCAACTACAACCTGGGCTATCTAGAGAAGGCTATAGTTGTGATCTAACATATCTGAAGGGCAGCAGACTGAACAGGGGTGCCCTCCCTCTATCCAATGAGCCAGGGCAGAACAGAGAACATCTGGCAGCTGTTAAGGAGCACAGGCATCCTCTGTGGGAAAGCCTCCAGGAGAAATATCCCCTCCCGTTAGAACATTGGCAAGATAATGAACATTGGAGCCGGTGCTCCTGTTTGGAGAGGCAACAGTCCCGGGCTCACATAAATGTAGCAGTTGCTGCTCCAATGTCACTGCAATGTGATCCTGCAAAGGAGCTGCCCCATAGAAAAGTAGGTTCTATATTTGCCAAAGTAAAAAAATGCTGGGAGAGATAATTGATAGGAACTCTGAATTGTCTGGCATATAATTTTTGCTTAGGAGCAAGATCCTGGGGAGCAATCCACACACCACCTCTTTTCTAAAAGTAGCTCAAGTGCCACCAACAGGCTTTGGGATAAGAACATCAGGCCCAAGATTTATTTCACATCAGCCGGGGGAGCGTGTCTGGCAAATTTGAAAGCTTATTCATAGTTCTGTAACATTCTGAAATTATTGTCCCATAGCTGTGGAATGGCTTGTTTTTCCCCTGAATAAACTCTGCAGCTGCCAACAGCTGTTATGATGGGAAATGAGACTTTCCATTGACTTTAGATTCAGGTTGGCAGAAGAAAAACAGAAAATGGTCTGCCATCTTACATCTGCTGTCAACAGCATTTGGGGCTGATGTAAGCTCTTATTTTGTCTTCTATTTTTAAAAAAAACCCTAAACCCTTGCTGTTGATCTTCGTGATAGCCAAGGAGAAAACCGCTAATGTGTAAGTGGTTGTCCGCGCTCAATGAATTGCTTTGATGGGTTTCTTTTTTTTATATAATAATTTTATTAAAAATTTTAGGTAGAACAATAAAAGGTAATACAAAAAGAAAACAGGAAAGGAAAAAAGGTGCAAGAAAGCGTGTATATGTATGTATGTATGTATGTGCATGCTTTTCTTATATATGAAAACCCCCCTCCCCCCAAGAAACCCTTGATGGGTTTCTCTGTAATCCTTAGTTACAAACTAGGCTGTGCAAGTTTCAGAAGCTGTAGGGAATCATAGCTTGCAAAATAATACATATTATGCATTTTTAATGAATGGGCGCATGCATACATTACATGTGTTTTACTCTTCTCCTAGTGAGGGGGTAATTGGAATTGCAGTATCTACATCTGTTTCACTAAAGATGCTGTGCAAATTTACTATCACCCAGGCCACCTCCTGGGATTTTGTAAAGCAGTCTTTGTCTGCCTCCCTTCCGTCCAGCGCTTGCACTCCATTAGTATACCATTTCTGGGTTTAGAAATGAGGGCTGAGATTCCCAATGTGCTAAATTCTCTGTGACCATCAAACGTTATCAATAGTGGATTGGCTGCTCAGTTTCAATAGTTTAAGGGTTGCAGTTTTCACACCTGTTGTGTATTTTGCGGTTTTTTTGTTTGTGTAAGTGTGCATCTATGAATGACGTTGGCATGAAAAGTAGATGAAGTAACTAACATTTGTATGAACTGCTGGAAATCAGTGTGATTGCAGTATTTGCCACGGTGATGTTTTCGGGATTATGATAGCAGTGCCCCAGCTGTGCTCCAAACTGCTTGGCTCCAGATCCTGCTTCAGAAGGCAGATCTGGAATTGCCTCTGTGCATTACAAGGCACTCTTCTAAAGCTCTTCAGGGGGCACTTCAGGGAACCCCCGTTTGAGGCCGCCCTTCCTTCCTTCCAGGAACCACAGCCCATGTGGGGATTACTTTGTATGGGATAGATAGCAAATCTGGGCACAGACATCTGGATGATGAGAATGCCTTTCGACGCAACAGCCTCGACATCTTCCAGATTGCCACGGAACGGAACCTGGGCAGGGTGTGGAAGATCCGGATCTGGCACGACAATAAAGGTGAGCAAATGCGACCGGTTGTTGAGGCTGGCTGGACAGCTGGAGTACAGAACTTACGGTTCAATGTGAAATCAAGGGCAAGAAGTCTCTGCTTTTTATTCCCCCTGTTTTTTCTAAATTGGTCTTTTGAATTTATTATAATAAATGTTTGTCTCAAAGGCAGTACTCCTTTGTTTTGTTAAATGTACTCCTTTGTTTTACACCCTGTCTTTTACTTTATCTACCTCTCATCCTTTTTCCTATACAACGTGCCAAGCCCCTAACCAAGATAACAAAGATAGTGACTGTGTTTGTATGTCACATGATGCCCAAACAAGTCGGCTTAACATACTGGCCTGGTTCCCACAACCTGCTGAGTAACAGCTGGGTTCCCACAACATGCTGGCCCTGAACTCCCTTTCAGCCAGGCCTATTGTGCAACTCCAGCATTAGAGTGGCGTTTTCCCTTTGGCTTTTCCATTAGTCAAAGCCGAGAGTATTGCTTGTTGCCCTCGGTTGACTTGTTAACACTGCCTGAGCAATAAAGGGTGTCAGAGAATCCATTGCTTACAGAGTTGCTCATGGGGGAAGGAGAGGAGGCAAATGGTATTAGTGGGCATTTCCAGAACATTGCAATATGAAGATGACCGTGTGCAGAAGAGGGCGTGGGCTAAACCGGGGTCTCCTTCCTGCCTTCTGCTTTTCAGGACTCAGCCCAGCTTGGTTTTTGCAGCATGTCGTTGTCAGAGACTTGCAGACCTACAAGAGCTACCACTTCCTGGTGAACGACTGGCTGTCTGTGGACAGTGTGGAGAACGATGGCCTGGTGGAGAAGGAAGTCTTTGCTGCCAGTGAGTGGGAGAGTTGCTCAGCATGAGCCTACCTAGCGCATCCCTTGGAGCCTCTGTTTCGTAACTGGCTCAGTGGAGCAGGAAGGAGGACCCGGGGGATCCAGCCTAGAGGGAGCTGATAGCCATGCTTGGCTCGAGCCCTCGCAGCAAAGGCAAAATGGCTGCCCCAGATCAGATGCCACTTTTGAGGGAAGGGAGAACACAGAAAGCCTGAACACGAAGGGAGCAACACTCATTGGCAAGAGGTTCTTTAAGGCTGAAAGCAGCACTGCCGGCCCTCTCAGAGAGGTCTCTTCCACTGCCTCACTTTGAAATGAAGACAGGCCTGAGCCAGTCCCTTCCAGCAGACTTTTTCCCCATTCTTGTGGATGATGTAGTCCCATGACGCTCAGGGAACAGGAGGAGAGGCTTCCTAAGTATATGCTTTGACATCATGACCACCATCTAGAGCAGTGTTTCTCAACCTTGGCAGTTTGAAGAAGTGTGGAATTCAACTCCCAGAATTCCCCAGCCAGCCAGTATCTTCAAACTGCCAAGGTTGAGAAACACTGCTCTAGAGGTTCATGCTCCACAGCTTCCCTCCGTGTTTCACCCGTCTCTCCTTCTCTGCAGGTGAGGCAGATCTGAGGAGCTTTTTGAGGATCTTCATCGGCGAGCTGCAGCGGGGTTTCTTTGAGAGGCATGTCTGGCTCTCCCTGTGGGATCGGCCCCCTCGCAGCCGCTTCACCCGGGTCCAGAGAGCCTCATGCTGCTGCCTCCTCATCTTCCTCTTCCTCTGTGCTAACGCCGTGTGGTACGGTGTTGTGGCAGATGCTAACTTCAGGTGTGCCACAAACATCTGACATGCTCTGCGTGCCAGGCCCTTCTCTGCCCCACCTCCACTGAAAAGAAGAATCTCCCAGAGTTTCTATACAAGATCTATTGAAAGAGGAGAGAATAAGGTTCCAGAAATGTCAGCACTGAATTGTTCTTCCCCTTTGGAGTTCAGTTTATCCCCCTGGTTCCTAAGGGGGTGACTTCTCATGCTCCCCTCATGGCTCCTATATGAACAGCTAAGGAGACTTTGCCTTAACCGACAGCAGAAGAACATCCAATAGAAGCAAATATGTGTAGCTCAGGGTTGAATTGTGGGGCCCTTGGGGTTCTCTGAGCTTGACTGTTTTCTTGCAAACGTTTCGTTACCCGTATAGGTAGCATCTTCAGTGCACTAGCCGGGTAACGAAACGTTTGCAAAGCAGCCAAGCTCAGAGAACCCCAAGGGCTCCACAGAAGAACATCCTCATTAGAATGTGAATTTCCCTCTGGATCTTTACATGCATTGCCCCAGACATAGCCCAGGAGGGCCTTCCCTATGTTAGCACCAAATACTGGCCTGCAGGGACCCCCTTCTGTCCCAAGGGGGGGCTAGAGAGAGAAGGAGCCCAGGCTTGAGGTGGTCCTGACCTGTGTGGAAGGAAGATGAAAGAAAAGAAGTTGGTTATGGGGAGCAAAAGGGCAGGCATGAGCCAAGGGGCTGCAAGCGTGGGAAAGATGACTTCCTGGCCCGTAGTAAGGGTTTGCACCTTCTTCAAGCCACAAAGGGCCTTTGAGTCTCATGAAAAGGGCTGCATGCTCAAGATAGGGCAAGATTTATTCCAATTTAATTTCAACTGATAAATCTTAATTTAAATAGGATTACTCCCCCATGTTTAATGATTTCCCCCCCTTTGCTACATTAAAAATTACCGTTTGGTGGCAAATTTTGGAACAGCTGTGGAGCCGCATCCAGGCTTTGGTGGGCTGTATATGTCTTTGGACAACAAGATCCTAAAGGAACCTGGAAGTCTCCTGCTGGATTCTTCCCATGTGATGCTCTCTGCAAGCCTTGCTGTGATTTTCTTTTTCTGGGCATAATGGAGGACAGGAAGAAGGGCAGAGAAAGAGAGCTAAGTGCCCCATTTCCTCCTACTCAGTTCACAGACTTGGCCAGGATGGGCCTCCTCTATCCAAAAGGGGCCTCCTGACATCTTGACAACCAGGCCCTTAAATCTGGACTGGCACAACCTCAGGACAGGATGCTAAGTGTAAAACTTGCTAGAACATCTTTTTTCTTTTATCATATGTGAGAAATCTCTCTTCTTAAAATTTATTGTTTTAATATAAAAAAGGAAAAGAAACTACAGAGAGAAAAAGGGAGAGATACACAAAAACACAAAAAGGAAGCAAGAAAATGTACAATATCTAATTTCTTATTACATATAGGAAAGTATGCAGCTTCATTTTTAAACCTTGGCTGCATGGAACAGTATTGATCGATCTTTCCATTTCATCCATAGAGAGTCAATTCTTTTAAAAAACCCAATCTGTTTCAGTGATCCAAGATTGTAAATCTGGGGTTGCACTATCTTTCTAGCATTAAAGCGTAATACTGCTCTATAAATTATTATTTTTCATACTGTAATAGAGCCAAAATAGAGCTCAGCCTCCATCATCTGAGTCACCCCTTTTACGCTCCCAACATAATGAGGTTGAAAGATTCCTAAAACAGCAGCCAGGGCTAAGGTCCCCCTGTGAGTGGGAAAAGTCCCTTTTTCCCTAACAGTTTAGAACAATAACAAAACCATTTGTATGAGAACATCTTCTACATGTTCTGGAGTCTTAATAACAGAAAACAGCACAAACAGCTTCCAACTGACTCTTCTTTTTGGTCTGTTTTTAGTCGAGTGCCCATCTCCACCCTGATCCCGGTCAGTGGTGAGACCGTCCTGGTTGGCTTGGTCTCCAGTTTGGTTGTTTATCCCCTGTACCTGGTTCTCCTCTTCCTCTTCCGGATGGCACGAAGCAAGGTAACAATGGAAGACGGTCCATTTCAAGCACCTAAAGTGTGGATTTCAGAACCACCCTGTTGCCTAGAGAATTCTGGGAAATGAAGTCCACACTTCAAAAGAATGCCCAGGGAATGTTTGGTTTAGAGGTTCCACAGTGCCCCAACTCTTAAAGATATTTAATGTCAACAGTTGCTCAAAGTTCAGTCTCGTTGGAATGGATTTGTTGGAATCTGCTGTCTTGTAATACTTGTACTTTCTGCTGTTGATGATACTGACGCTATAGGAATCTCCAGGGATTCAAGTGTTAAGTTTTTTTATAGCAATTTTCCAGATTTTTAAATAGTGATGTTCCAATTGAAAAAATATTTTATTTTTCCGTTGTTTTGTAATAACAAACTTGGCAGCTAAAAATAGCAGTTGATTTAATTTCCTATGTTGCATCAATTTTGATGCCTTAGAAAATAAGGACAATAAACCAACAGCAGCAGCATTCATGATTTTTCCAAGTTTCTTCAAACGTTTTCAACCTAAAAAAAATGTCTAACTGGGCGCTGACACTGAAGATGGTAAACTGTGCCAGTTGGCTTATAAATCTTGTGTACACAATCTACAGTCAATGAAGTTTGCAGTTTATACATTGTACTTTTAGCAGAGGAATATGTGTCTATTGGTTATCTTTGTGCTAATTTTTTATGAGTTGTTGAAATGGATTTGAAAGGAAATATATACACAGAGGATTCCATGAGAACCCTGTCTAGATCCCATGTTACCCTTCCAGGGATTTGAAAGACTTCTAGAGAAGCTTTTTGGCTTAAAGTTGTATATAATGGAATAATGTAAGTTAAATAATCATGATATATTATGTAATGCACCTATTCAGTGTTGTTCAAAAATTGTCTTAGTCGGTGAGATCTAGATAATTTACACAAGAATAATTGAATTGGACTCATTTAAAACCAAGTTGGAATGTAACTAGAGTTTCCCTAGTTATTAAGCTTCTATTTCTCTATATTGAACCAATTTATCCTTACGCTAAAAGAGAAAATAGCTGAGAAATAGGGGAGAGACAAGGAGAAGAAAGTCAGGAACCAATCATTGCTTCCACCTTTTCCTAATATCCAAAATGAGTTTTAAATATGCATTTAAAAAGGAGATACTCCATTCTTACTCCCCAGCTAATAGGGATGTCAGTGCTCATGCAGTTCAGAACAACCATGGTTGGAATTCCTATTGATAGGAACTATTTTCATTCAAGGCTGCACGAGGTCCATTGGCTTGAAGATGCCACCACTATTTTCATGGCATCCCAAGTCCCATCCTTCAAAAGTGGATGAACCATTGCCCATTTTGGGAGAGGTTCCAGGAGATGCTTTAAGATCTGCAAGACGTAGGCACCACTTTCCCCTTAAAGGACCCTCAACCCCAACTTCCCCAGAATGCAAAAAGGAGCCAACATTTAGGGCTTCACTCACCCTGGGGGATTTACAGGGCCCACAATAAGACCATTGGCAGGAAGAACGCAATCCTGAGTCACACATTTGGCATTCCTTTCTTAGTTGGATACCAAAATATTGCTTCAAATTTTGTACACTGAAACCCCCAACATGCTTTCTAAATATAAGTCTTGTATAGTTTTTATTTGCAAACAGAGGTACATTCTCAGAATCAAAATGAACTCCTCATAGATTCATGGACATGTTCTGCGTAAATGAAAATTCTTTGCCACTTACAAAATCAAATAAAATGAAATTGGAAGTATTTGAAGCAAAACAGAAATTTAGGAAAAACTATTGCTAAATGCAAACCAATTATATACATTTTTAAAAAATTTTGAAGATTAAAGAAACATAGTTTTAGAATTGGAAGGGGTCATTGGGTGCAGCAGTCCAAACGAAGCCTCCTCCACAGGTAGTGTCCATCCAGTGAAAGGGACTACTGCTCTCTCTGTAACTGATTCCATGCCGAAGTTTCTTTTCTAACATTGAGTCAGAATTGCCTTCCTGCAACTTTAGTACATTATTCAGTGTCCTGTACCAGAACAAGAGAATAGAGCCTGGTCGTCTTTCGTGTGACAACATTTCAGGTACATGAAGAATTGTAAGGTATTCCTCCTCAGTTGTCTTTTCTCAATGCTAATATATCCAGTTGCCTCTTCTCTATTCATACGACTTAGTTTCAGATCTCCAGATCATCCTTGTTTCCCTTCTTTACATTTGTTCTTCTTGGTCTGACTCCTTAAATGATAGTGCCTCACCTTGGAAGTCAGCCCGACTGGTACAGAACACAGTGGAAGGATTTTGTTACATGATTTGGAAATGATGCTTCTGTTGATGCAGTCTGAAATTGCATTTGTCTTTTTAGCAACCACACCATACTGTTCACTCGTATTCAGCTTGTGAGCAATTATAATTCCAAGATGTTGCAACAATTTAAGTTCCATTTTACAAACAGGTCATAATTACACTTCTTTAGGTGGTGCTAATAATAAACTGAAGTCTAGTAGCTTCTTGAAGCTATTTCTTTGAACCTTTGTCAATATTAATTAATATAGTAAATGATTTACCAAAGTTAACTTCTAAATCCCTTGCAGCATAACATTTATTTAATTAAAATTTGGAATGGAATGATACATCTATTAGGATTTTGAAGGAAAATGAAAATGAATCAGGAAAAGAAGTAGTAAATGCAGAGGCCCATAGATGGAAGCTGGAAGTTCTAAACCATTCTTCCCAGAAGGCTTCCGGGTCCTGCCTCCGACTTTGGGGTAGCAACTTGAAATTCCTGCTGCCCCTTCTTATCCTCCGGAGGAATCCCACCTGGCCCCTACCCCTAAATCCAATGTGTGAGAGAACTAGAGCTCTTACATGCTGTGTTGCCTTTCTGGCAATTAATAGTTCAATTTACAAAAGTTGAAACAATTTTTATAATGCCACCTCCTGGTTTTGTGATATGATGACTAGAAGATTCGACCTTTCCTTCTGCCCATGGGACCTAAATCAGTCTCACAAGAGATTTAAAAAATCAAACTTTATTAAGGAAAAAAAAAAGGATAAAAGGTATTCTTCCTCCTTTTTAGTATGATCTATTAAAAACAGACATTCCATTTGGAAGAAGATAACCGCAGTATAGAGCTGTCCAGATCACAGCAATACAGCAGCCTGCAAGTTACTTAGCAACATTCTAGACAGATCTCACATTAATGATGGCCTGCTACAAATGAATTGATCTCTGTCCAACAGCTCCAAAGTACCTACAGAAAGTTCAAATTATTACAGATCGCAAAGATATTCTAAAGAAAAATATATTTTTATGAATATAGTCTGAAATATCAGAAGCATCTGCAGGGGGCATTGGAAAAGTCAACATGGCAACCACTACCATGCAACACATAAAAATTTGTGATGGCATGACAAAGAGGCCAGTCTTTGATTACGCAGTTGTGATGCCATATTGATTTATTTTTTATGCTTCCTACAGATGCCCCTGTGAAATGTGACAAAGAGAGAAAGAAAATAAGACTTAGCCCCCTGCAGAAAATGGATATCAAAAACCTGGCCCAAATTCCTGGCTAGATGTTTCCGCTGTCCCAAAGCAAATGGTCCTTTGCTTTGCTTCCCAGGAGTTCTCTCCCTCTTGGAGGCTGCAAACAATCAGATATGACTGAAGATCAAGGGTTCCCCATTCTTTTCCCAGCCTCCTTCATGGACCTCTCCCTTTGCTTTAGAAGGGCAAAACCGTCTTTGTATCCAACAGAGGGAGGGCTGGTGTGTCCCTGCCAAGAGCCACTTCTCACTCATGGGGATGGACCCAGGCACTGTGGGTCTGGAGTCTACACTCTGACGCACAGGTTGTGCTCATAGAAGTCGAAATAAACAAATAAATAGAAGTATTAATTAAATCTGCTGGCTATGTACTCCTCTACCCCAAATTCTGTTTAATGACTTCCAAAAGAAACTACTTGTTTCTGGGAGTTTTATTCCAGGCAGTCTGGAGACTTGACCACTTATTAGGTTGAATTCAAGGACTGAAGTACCAATGACTTGTAATATCACATGACATTTCAAATAAAAGATGCAGTTCAGTGGAGAGAAAAGTAAGGTCCTGCACTTACGCAGGAAAAACCAGATGCACAGGTACAGGATAGGCAGTACCTGCTCAACAACAGGGCCTGGGAGAGGGGCTTAGGTATCCTGGTGGACCACCGCCTAAGTATGAGCAGTGTGCTGCAGCTGCCCAAAAAGCCAGCGCAGTCCTGGGTGGCATCAACAGAGGGATAGTGTCAAGATCAAGGGAAGTGATACTAGCTCTCTACATCTCACTGGTGAGGCCACATTTGGAGTACTGCATCCAGTTCTGGTCCCCACAATACAAAAAAGATGCTGACTCCCTAGAAAAAGTGCAGAGAAGAGCAATAAAGATGGTAAGGGGTCTCGAGGCTAAATCCTATGAAGAACAGCTAAAGGAACTAGGTATGTTTAGCATAAGGAAGAGAAGACTAAGGGGAGACATGATAGCGGTCTTCCAATATTTGAAGGGCTGCCCCAGGGAAGAGGGCATCGATTGCTTCTCCATAGCACCCAAGGGTAGGACAAAAAACAATGGGTGGACGCTCATCAGAGGGAGATCCAACCTGGAAATAAGGAGGAATTTCCTGATAGTGAGAACTATTAAGCAGTGGAACAGAGTTGCAGGTGCTCCATCGCTGGAGGTTTTCAAGAAAAGATTGTCCAAGGTGGTATGAGGACTCCTGCCTTGGGCAGGGGGTTCGACTAGAAGACCTCCAGGGTCCCTTCCAGCCCTAGGAGTCTATGATTCTAAATATTACAGGTCGTAATTTATTCACTGTATGATAAATAAAAATATAGAGAGGTAACAATATCTCTGCTTGTTTTATAGAGAATTGGTGGCAGTGCTGTAAAGTTTTAAAAACAACATTTCCAAGTTCCCACAGGATTCAGGCACAAAGATTTATTGACACAGTAGTTAAATGAATATCACGCAGTGGATCACTAGGTATCAGTGTTAAAATTCCTAGGCTTCTGGAAACTTGTGTGAAACTGATATAATTTCTTAGGTTTTTTTAATGTTAATCCAAATACGTGTATACTTAATCTTAAATGATTAAGTACACACCTGTTGGCCTTCTGCAAGACCTTGAAGACTTGGCTCTGTGCTTGAGCCTGGGGCCCCGGGTGTGTGACGGAGCCCGTTTCCTGGTTGTGCAGACTGTATGATGTTTTTGTAATTTTTTTCTCAGCTATGTGTTTTATGTTTTTTTATGTGGTTTTACTATTTTTAATATTGTTAGCTGCCCAGAGTCATGTATCTGAGTTGGGCAGCTGCATAAATCAAATAAAAATAAATAAATAAATAAATAAATAAATAAATAAATAACTTTGTTAACGTCAGTCTCAAATAGATGAATGCGAAGAAAGAGAGAGCAAACTGCATGATCAGAGCCATCTTTCTAATCCACAAATGTGTCCTAAAGATTGAGAAGTGAGAAGAGGGAGGTAGTCTTTTCCCCCTACCCATTCTAACTATCCTAGAAGGGGGACCTGCTGGTTTTAGCCACCCCCTCCTTTATTTGGGGGACTTGTCTTAACCCAGCATAAGCTATTTGAGCTCTGTGGTTCTTGGATCTATCAGATGGTGCATTCTGGTTTAGAAAGTATAGCTGAATTTCTGCTTGATGCCAGCAGCCATCTTCTTCACAGTCACTGACTGTGGCAGCACCTTTGTAAACCATGAGAGCATTAGTTGCTGGCTGGCTTTTCCCCTCTGTTTCTTTTAAAATGAGATTGAAGTGTCTTCAGTACTACCCAAAATAAGTTGATTGGGAGGCAGATTTAAATTCGCTTTCTGTTCCCTCTGTTTCCCCACCCCCGACGATCCTAGCCAAGGGAAGTGCTCAGTCCCTCAAGCACCTTTCTCTCCTGCAGGTGACCATCAGCCAGTCTCTGGCCCATTCAGACCAGCAGTCCTTGGAGATCGACAACTACCTGGACTCATCGCTTCTGGAGAGCTCCTTCCTCACCTTCCCTGGGCTTCGAACAGAGGTGAGAAGCATCAGAACTGCTGCCCTTTCTCTCCACACCCATATGCAAGCTCTGCGCCAGTCCTGGGAATCTTTCCTTCTGTCTCCTCTTTCCTTGCAGTTGGCCAGGTAGCCATCTTCTCAGTAACCTTTTCAGAGATGGCTTCTCCTGGAGGAGAGCAAAGAAGGAGCCAGACATGTTAGCATCTGAAGGACAGAATTAAATTTGTGGGCTAAACACTTGTCTCTTTCACTCTTTCTTCCTTTATAGGCATTTTCAGAGCAAACCAAGACCGATTTGCTCCTGGATGATTCAAAAAGGTAGGTCCTTGGCTTCTGTTTATGAACAGCAGCATCTTCTCTTCCACAAGCTCATGTGGGAGAAAGAAACATGTTCTGGCCGTGAGGCCTTTTCATGATAAAAGGTGGTATTTCTTGTAAAGCTCTGCCAAAGACCAAGCTAACTATCAGTTCTAGCTGGACACTGGGATAGGCAGAGCAATAAGCTGAGCTTAAGTTAAGCCTCCCTCAAGTGTAACCTGACACCTGATGACTGCTTGGACACATCCGTTACATTTTCTTGGCAACAGTATGGGAGTCATTTGGTACTGACTTCTTCCAAAATATTGTTTTGACTTCCCAGTCTAGGCTACAGCCTTGGGATTTTGTGGTGATCTCCCATCCAAAGACTCATTAGATCTGACCCTGCTTAGCTTTTTAAGATCAGCCAAGCTCAATGCTGCCACCTGCTGTTTGCAACTAGGGTTTTGTCACAAGGCTGAAAAAAGTAGTACATGGCTTTTCTTGAGACCACATTTGGAGAAGGGGGAAGCAGCCAGAGAGCTGTAGATCTTGTCTGAAATTCCTGGGCTCAGCCTCCCTCCATGCAATTTTTTGTTTGGGACCAGCCTAATCCGGTGGCATTCCAATGAAGCCCTGCTCAACTGGCCAGACCTGCTCAGTGATCCATCCATCATGGGCAACACCATTCAGAAGCTGAAAAGGGGGAGGACCAGTCGTCATCTTGGCCTCGAGGCTCCTTTGGCCACTGAGGGGGACAGCATGACACCGGCCTTTCCCCAGGCTCAAGCCAGATACTTCTCTGCTTCCGGTAAGGGGGGGGGGGGTGAACGCTGCTAGAGGTCATGGAGGGCTTGCAGGGAACCTTGACTTCTGCTGCATGGCTGCCCCTTAGTCTACTCAGATGGGGACCTCATGTGAAGAATCAGAGGGATTCTTGGGGCCGCAAGAGAAAGAACAAGAGGGGTCACACAAATTCTCAGGGGTATCTGCAAGGTGATTGAAGCTCTGTCTGTTTTTTATATGCATTGTGTGTATGATGCACATTAAACATGGGCAGAACTTTGATTGTACCATCTTGACTTTTTTGACCACACCCTGAAGGCACCCCTGGATGTTCCCCTTCTAGCATATCTCTGCACTAGGAAGCACTTGGCAATGTAGGCCCAGGAAAAACTCCTGAGCTCCAAATGTTATTCACACTTACTGCAAAATCAGGGCTTAAAGCACTGGTTTGTTGAATACTGCTAAGCCAAATCAAGCCATATTATAATTGAGTGCGGTGGGCCTTCTTGTTTCACCTTGACCCGCTGAGGGCTTCCAGGGTCTTCAGGAGGGGGATTGTCCCCATGTCAGGAGGCCAGGCCCAAACATGTTAGCTGTTCTCCCCCGAGCCTCTCAGACTGGAAGGGAAGGAGGGAGGATCCCTCTGACATGGGTGCCCAGTGGCACCGAGAGGCAGGCTGAAAGAGAATCCTGAAGACCAACTTGGACAGAGGAGACACGGTCAAGAGTCTTGATCTTTTCCCCCTCCCCCGAATTTCCCGTAGGATTTTGCATGCAAGGCCCAGAATGGGTGGCTGCCCCCACCCACTCCCAGCGGGAGGCTATTGGGTCTCACATGGGAGGAGTCTCTTCCCGGCAGTTGTGGAGCGCCTTCCGTCAGTGCAGTTTAACATCTGGTCTTGTGATTCCGTTAGGAAGACAGGCAAGCCAAACATGCCCACCAGAGATACCATTCACCCTGAGAACTTGATATGTTCTTCCCACAACAGATGAAGATTTGATACGACAAATTCTTGCAGACGGAGCTGGTGGCATCTCTCATCTTCAGGAAGTGGGAAACTGCCCCAAGGTTGAGACAGACCTCCTCTCAGGGCTGTAAGTCTGTGGGGAGGGAAAGGGGTGTGTGTGCAGGAGGTAGCCCTCAGGGGAACCCCCTCCCATTCTCCTGGGTTGAGATGGTGTGTATGAGATGCAAACGTAGGCAAAAGGGAGTGGTGCATTGCTTAGGATCTTCCTGTGGGTGGCTTGCACCTGGTGAATCCGTTGCTCTTCAGTTGTTGGGGCTGAGAGACAAGCGGTCACAGCTGAAATGGCCTAGTTGCTTCCTGCCAATGTCTGGGGAAGAGCAGGAGGGGCACTTGGAGGGGTTCCTGCATTGGATTTATCCCGGTAGGTCAAACATGCCGGGAGACAAGACGGAGGCAATCATGTTGCAGAGGCTGAACGAGAAAGGACAGAGCGTGGTGGTCCCTGGCCGGGAACTGAACCATTCCGCCAAATCAACTCGAACAGGTACTGGCACTCTGGCACTCAGACACCCAGAATTGTGTGGGCCACCTCTTCGGGCCTCCCTTGAATAAGCCTTGCAGAGAGATGATGCTTGTAACTCCAGGAGTCTCCCCAGCTGGCCTTCTGGTGGAATTGTAGTCCCAAGACACCTAGAGGTGGATGGGAGAACCTGGTTTTAGAACTGTCCTCCAGGAGCTCAGCTGCCTGCCCTTCTCCTCCAGGACGGGCTTTTTCCTAAATACCATCTGTCTGCAAGTCAGCTGTGACTGCTTCACTCTTCTGTCTCCTTGTTAAATTTAATTCAATACTTGCACTTACCCTGGGTGGGGCATTCACGAGCAGAGAGTCAGAAAAGTTAAGGCGGTGGCTGTATCATGGGATCAAAGCTGCATACCTTTTTGTACATGTGTTGCATTTCTGTGAGAGCTCTGAAATGCCCCCCAAAAGTAATTGGGTGCAACTTTTAGATTCCTGCAGGCTTCATCTCATCTTCAATGGTATGAAGGCTATGCTCAGTGTGGCTCTTACACTCCCCTCTTCCTGCAGCAGCAGGCGGAATTGTGCCAAGACTCACCTTCCCACCCCCTTTCTGTGCCTGCAGTTGTGGACCACGCTCTCCGGAAGCGCTTGTTGCCCTCTTGGTGCTCCTACCTGGCACACGCCATCAGCATCTTCCTCCTCCTCCTCTCCTTTGGGGTCTCTGTGTGGATCGGAGTGGGGTTCACCTCCAGCGTGGCCCTCATGTGGCTGATCTCAGGGATTTTTAGCTTCCTCTCCTCCTTTTTGCTCTGGGAACCCCTCAAGGTAAGTCCTGGTAGAAGATGCCTCAGGAGCACTCCAGGTTCCCACCTCAACTCGATCTAGCTTCCACTAGTCGGTTTTCGTTCTCTCTGGCCATATTTCCATATTTTGCCTCCCGCTAGTTTTCATGTTCCATCTTTCTTTTTGTTTGTTTGTGATGCTAACATTTGAGTAGACATCCAAGGAACATTTCTGCCTGTTGTATTCCACTTCCAAGAGAGACTTGGCTGCCAAAGTCATTGCATAGAAATTCTGCCACAACTCAAAACTTTTTTGGTTTTCAGGAAGCTGCCTGCAGGCTCCTGGTTTGACCTGGTGGCCGAATTATTTACAGACCAGCCCCTCGCCGCCTGCTTCGCGAGATCCAGGGCAGGAGGGCAGAGAGCCAGCAGGCTGCTCGCTCCTTGGCACTGCTGTGTGCCGTTCCCCCAGCAGCGAGGGGCAAGTTCCAAGAGGGCAGAGCACCACAGCTCTGCGAAGGGAGAGGAGCCTAAATGCTGGCACAATACGCAGGGATTGTTCAGGGCAATTGCATGTGGAGTGCATTCCCCTTGTGGTCAGGCACTTCAAACAAGAAACCATGAATGACTCTGTGCGGAGTGATGCGGACAGGAGCTGTCTCTATGGTAGCAATTGGTTAGTCAAAAAAAGAGGAAGTTGGTTTAGCAGATAACAGGATTGGGCTAGATGACTGCAGCATCGTATCTGACTCCAGGACTCTTTGATCTTTTGTGGAACTTGCACGTTCTTTACCTGCAGATTCTCCTGGAAGCTCTTTACTTTTCACTGGTGGCCAAGCGCCTGCATCCTGAGGAGGACGACACCCTGGTGGAGCATCCCTTTGTGGAACACGTGTCAGAGAAGATTGGGAAGGTCCGGCCACCTCAGGGCTTTGCTCTTTTCCAGGCCAAGGAGGAGGCCAGAAAGGTCAAACTCCTGCACAGCCTGCTCAAGGTGAAAAGGGAGAGGGTGTCAGCTCTGTGGGGAGGGCCAGGGGTCCTGAAATTGTGCCCCAAGGGGAGGAGAAAGAGGAGATGGGGCCTCTGATGTCATGTCCCCTCCTGGCAACAGGAACCCCTGACACTCCGATTTCAGGGAAGCCCGTGAGAGGGTGTGTGCATGCATGCACGCTCAAATGCCAGAGCAGAATGCCCATTCCCTGGGCTCGGGCATCCTTTCTGCAGGGGCTGCTTTGGGCTGTTCTCAGCAGGATGGCAAGTCCCCTTTCTCTGTTCCTCATAGAACTGCTTTGTCTACATGCTGTTTCTGCTGGTCATCCTCCTCACCAACTATGGCGGAGCTTCACACAACAGTCAGGCATTTCTTTTCCAAAAGTCCATCAAGCAGCAGCTTGGCATCATGCAATTCCTGGACATTAAGAGGTATTTCTACTGCAGGTTCTACTGTTTTTAGCTCTGACATTTTGATGCCCCTCTTATCAGCCTGCTGAGCTTCACCAAACCCTTCCTAAGAGTTAGTAGTCCACAAAATATTCTCCCCAACTCTGTTAGTGCTTGTAGAACATCTGACAGCTAAGAACACTTCTTTAGAGTGCAAAAGACTATCTGGACCCTTTTCAGTGGGGTTTCAGGTCTGGACATATATGGAGACAGCGTTGGTCATGCTGGTTCACAATCTTTGGTGGAACTGGGATATGGGGGGCGCTCCCATCCTGGCCCTCCTATAGCTCAGCACTTTTGATATCATTGACTGTGGTATTGATTTGGACCAACTACAGGGAATAGGAGTAGGAGCCATGATGTTACGGTAGCTCTGCTCCTTCCTCTGTGGCCGGTTCCAGTTGGTGTTGGTGGGGGAGAGAGTTCAGGGATGGACAAGCCTCGCTATGCCCATGTCACAGCCCTGCTACCTGAGCTGCACTGGTTGCCAGTTGGCTTCCAGGAGCAATTCAAGGTTCTGGTTCTTACCTTTCAAGCCTACGTGGCCCAGGGCCCAGGTATTTGAAGGACCACCTGTCTCTGGGCGCGTCTGCTCGTCCTGTTTGCTCCGAGAGGGCTGGCTGGCTTCGGGTCTGCCAGTTACACAACTCCATCTAGCAGGACTCAGGAAACGGCCCTTCCCTGGGGCTGCACCTGCCCTTTTCCTCCCAGACCTTGAATGAGGATACATTGGGCAAGTTAGGAGGTCATGTTGAGATATGGCATGTTATATTGTCCCCACATCCTGCCTTGCTTGTGTGTTTGTTTTTGTATATAATATTGTTTTTTAATCATTTTGGAGTTGGGCAGTCTAGAAATTTGACAGACGAATAGCACAAAGAAAAGGTGCTGGTGGATCGGGCCCCGTGGGGGATTAGATCCATTTCACCTTGCCTCGTGGAAGAACTGCCCCAGCTTCTATCTCGTTCAGACCCAGAGAGAGCAGACACTGGGGGGCTGCACTGTGCAGGCCCTGAACTCACCTCCAGGCAAAGGGCTGGGGAGGCCTCGGTCAGAACAGGCGGGAAAGGGTTAGATCGGCTTCTCTTGGAGCTGGTATCAGACGGCTGCAGCGGAGACTCAGTTCTGGGGCCAGGAAGAGTTCCCCTTCTGTGTGCTAATAGGAGGGCAATGGTGGAAACTGCAGTCCCAGTCAAGGAAGAAGCTTGGCTTAGCAAGGCCAGAGCGGCTTTAAAATTGGGATGAACATCTCCCGTGCTGAGCACAGTGCCTCTCTCCTTCTCTTTCTCCACTCCGTTGGTGCAGATCGGATGAGTTCTGGGCTTGGACCATGCAGGGACTGCTTCCGTTTCTGTACAGTAACCAGTCTGCCCAGGGAACCTCTAGTATCACCCTGGGGGTCCCACGACTGCGGCAAATCCGCATGCAAGAAGGTAAGTGGGAAGCACACTGGCCTTTACCTGTTCATTGATAGTCCATCGTGTTCAGGTGTGGAAGAGAAATAATTGCTCTGCATTACGAAATAAGGGCAATTTCCTCTCCACCACAGTCTTATTTTGTGTACCATCTTCTGTCATAAACTGACTCTTAACTGGCTTGCTCGGGTGGTCTGGACTGGATCTCACCCTCTACGATTTCTTGACCACACACCCATTGTTTGATTGCATTAAACTGGAGCCTTTCTTGATATTTGGACGGAATCAGAATGTGCTTTCTTGCTCGTATTGCCATTTATATTGCTGAACATGGGTATGCAGCCATGTTCAGTTACATTCACTCTTTGCTCTCATCCACCATCACTCTAGTTGTCTCTTCATTCACTTCATCTCCTATAGTTCCTCAGTAAACTGAGGAACCCATTGAGATCTACAAGGGAGGAGAGGCCACCTGGGGCCTGTCTCATCCAATGCTCTTGCCTCCTCCATGTTCCTGGAGGTTGGCCAGATGTGTGATGGAACCCCCCACAAGATCACAGAGAATTCCCCAAGCATCTTCAGAAACCCTTACGGGTCCATCAGGCACCTTCCTCAGTCCTCCATCTGTGCAAAGGTCCAGCCTGCCAACAGGGTGCATATGAATCTGACCACAGCAAAGGACTAATGCCAATGCTTTGGGGTAGCTCCTACCAGGCAGCGGGGAAGTTGGGATGGCAGATGCAGTCCCATCCTGTTCCTAAGGTTCAACCTAATGTGTAGGCAGGCACTTCTGGCCACCACAGGAATCTCACAATCCATCGTTGCCACGTTCCCCACTCCCCACTCCCCCCCTGCCATGGCACTGAAACTGCTGGAGCACTTGGAAACCTGGGGGACAGATTTCAGATTAAGCAACATCCCCCCAACCAAATCTTTGCGATGCAAGTCAGATGCACATACTTGTCTGTGCCCACGTTGTGGATGAACACATTCTGTATGGATATTAGTCCCCCAGAGCGTCCATGCCCCTATTCCATACTTTGCTTGGAAGAACACAGTCCCACACCACCTCCAACCCTGTGGAGCAGCAGACTGGTTTCCCCCTCCTGGTGTTCTCACCGCCATCATAGTCTCACTACGTTCCCCTCATGGGCCTTCCAACCCCTCCAAACAACCCAAAGAGCAGACGCTCCCACCCCAAAGCTCCTCTTTGACTGATGCCCCATATAACAGAAGCAGCTCTCTCCCACATACTCTGACTCCAAGAGGTTTACCTTCCTTGCCCCATGTCCATCTCCTGCAAGGCTGTCTTCTGGTTGCCTCCTCAAGGCATGCTACAGCAGTCCACAGGCTCTCGCCATTCCGCAAAAGCCACAGATGGAGGCAGAGTCTCTAGGCCCCACAGCCAGCCAGCAGTCCGCCAGGCACTCTTTCAGCTTCTGCCCTTCCCTGCTGATGCTGGTCTTGGGCCATCTTGTACCTCCACAAACATGTCCAAACCAGCTGGCTCGTGCCCTTGTTTGAATGCATGCAGGATGCCAGTGGCCTTACAGCAATCCACAGCTCTGTTGAGGTCACGCTCTTGTTACCTGTGTTCTAACAAGCAGCTTTCCAATGGTGGCCATCACACCACAGGCCCAGTTTTGTGGCCGTGGTGATGCTAGAGTTCTCCTTTTCCACTGCAGCCTTCACCTGCTGTTTGCCACCCCTTGTTGGCACGGCGGCTCTTCTAATGATGTTGTGGTTCTCCGCCCACAACGCCTAACCTTTCTAGCCACTTTCTCACATCTGCTGCACTTTCTCAGTCCAACTAAAAGCCGAATGAAATCCCAGTGCTCCTCCCTCTCATGCCAGTGACTTGAAGAGCACAGCTGAGAATTACGAGGAGTTCAGGAGAAAAGGCCTAACTAGAGGCATCGCCCGCTGGCCTCAGCTGAGCTCAGAAAGCCAAGCAGGGTCAGACCTGGCTAGTGACAGGAGACCAGCAGAATATTCCAGACAATCCAGGCTGGAAGAGAGCGGTGGCCAAACACTTCTGTACTGTGGCCAAGAAAGCAACACGGAGGTGTCTGGAATTGAGTGTGGCTTGATGGTTTTGTCTTTGGAGAAGAAAAGGCTCGGGAACTGCAGGAGTGGGACAAAAAAACATGGCGTCACTTTTTCCCAACAGGGTGCTTGAATTCCCTGCATCAGGCCCTCAGTGGGACCAAGAAGAAATGTGCTTTCAGTTCTGACAGCTTTGACACCACTAGCTACGCAGCTGGCTGGAAGAGCCCCTCGGACAGTCTGGGGCCGTTGTGGACCTACTCTCCTCCTGACCTGGCTGGGTGAGTAGCGCCGATCTTTCCCCTTCCTTTCTCCCACACAGGTAAAAAGCATTATCTATGTCAGTTTGACCAGTTCCCTGTTTCTCTCCCACCTATCATCATCTGCCGTCCACTTCTTCTCCAAGAGCTCAGGACAGATTACATCCTAGTCCCTTATCCAGATGTTCCCCATGGTGACAGTCCTATGAGATGGTTTGGGCTGTGGGGTGACTGGCCCATAGTCCCTTAGCAAGCTTGTGTTGTTGAGGGTGACTTTGAACCTAGATCTCCTGGCTCCAGCATAACAACCTGAATCACACCACCACTCTTTCCCCATCATCTCGATTTTGCCAAGTGCAGTTCTTGCCATGATTGAAGGAGACATTCAAGATACTCTCTTGATAATCTTGAACTGATGATCTTTCATTCTTTTAGGTTGGATATCAAAAACTTGTAGAGACCTCTCCTTGTGCCCAGTTGTCCATCCTCCAGTTTGTATTCTTTGTGAGCAGAACAGAGCAAAACCACAATGGCACGCAGAGTCAGTGTTGAACTTTCCAGACAATGCCAGAAACAAAAAGGAAGAAAGCATATTTTTGTAAACCCGCTTTAGTTAAGAACATTGTGGGTAGGAGGAAGCAAAACTATCTGTTATTCAATGTATTTAATAGAGAACGCTAATAGAGAAGCAAGGCAGTGTTTCAGGGCACATGGAGAGAAGTGGCAGGAAAGAAACACAGCAAAGTAAAGGTACAAAACCCTTTAGCAGAAGGCTGTCCATCTTTTGAGTTTATTATGGAAAAGGGTTACAGGGGCCTGGAAAAGGGGTAGAGCAGGATCCTGAGGCCCACAGAAGGGGCCTTTCTGGCCATCCATAACCCATGGGACTCTCCTCTTCCTCACCCGCCTTGCATTTCAGAGTCTGGTACTGGGGCTACCTTTCCTTCTATGACAATGGGGGTTACATCCAGGAGTTGGGGACAACACTCCAAGAAAGCAAAGCTTGTCTGCAGGTCCTCCAGCAGAACAATTGGATCAGCAACAGGTGGGTGATGATGGCAGGGGAGACCCCAAGTGGGAAACAGAATGATCTGTGGGAGAGGCAGGTTTGCTGCCCCTCAGGCTCCTTGCTTTGCAATATTTTGACCAGCGTTTCCATCTCTTGCAGGAGCCAGGCAGTCTTTGTTGAAATGACCCAATATCACCCTGTTCTGGACCTCCATGCTGCCATCACACTCCGGCTGGAGTTTCCAGTGGCAAAGCATGCGGTGCCGGCTGTGGCCGTCACTCCCTTCCCACTGCACCCCCTTGGCAGGAGGGTTACCCCACAGCTGCTCATGATGGTCAGTCCCAAAGTTCTCCCTGCTCCTCCTCACTTGTACAGTGCAGGTTGTCGGTGCTGCTCCAGTTACTTAGAGGTTGTACTGGGCAGAAGCCCTCTGCTAGGAGCTGTGCAGAATAAACAAGGACAGAGGTTAGCTGTTGACTTTTTGGGCCCAAAGACAGTCCTTCCTCTGGGCCACATAAGTATGGAAGACCCCCTGTTCATCAGGAGGTTGAAAAAAATGAAAGCAACTTTGTGTTTCCAATTCTCTCTTTGCTAAGTGGAGACTTTCCAGAGAACCCATTCTGTGTTTTCTTCATTGTTAGCTGCTTTGTACAACTTCAGAATGGAACAATGAGACACTCATATGAAAGTGATGGAAAGTGTGGAAGAAGTAGAGATGCATCCAGGCTTGGCCACCTCTGCATCTCCTGGGAACTCACCTGTCTTCTTTCTCCTGCTTGCTCCATCATCCAGGTCTTCCTCATGATGGTGGTGGTCTATTTCGTGGTCTCCGAGTCTCTGGCCATCAAGAAGGAAGGCAAGGCCTACTTCGCCCTCCTCAGCAGCTACGGCCAGTGGCTGCTGGTCCTGGCCACCACCTGCACGGTAGTCGTCCACCTCAGCCAGGCCACCCTTGCTGAGCGGCAGTGGGCAAAGTATCTGCAGAATAAGCGAGCCTTCACCAGCTTCTACCCAGTGGCGTCCCTCCACGTTGCCTTCAGTTGCCTGGCTGCTTCTCTCCTCTTCCTGCTGACAGTCAAGGTAGGGTTGGCCACAGGCGTAGATTAGGGGGACGATGGAATCGCCTTTTTAGGAATGCTTTGGAAAACAAGAAAAAACAAATTCACAGTCGTGACTGCCAGTCAGCAGCACCATCAGATTTTGCTGCAAATTTTCTCTCCTCTCCTCACAGGCTGCTTGGCAGCAGGCAGCCCCCATGCTTGCTAGTTGCCCAGCAGTCTGTCTTTGCAGCGTAGGAGGATCGAATCGCGACCAGAGCTCCTCCTACTCCGCAGTGGGAAGGAAGAGTATTCTCGCGTGCAGGGAAATCTGAGGGGGAGGGGGAGGTCAAAATCTGCAAAATGGTAGGCAGGGCTTTGCAATCTAAGCCCCACCCCTTTGTACATGTATTGATGTGCGTATACAAAAAGGGTGGGGCTTGGATTGTGGTACCGTGCTGCATATTTTGACCCTCTCGCAGGTGCCTCTGTGTGATTGTAAGAGTTTTCCAGTGTTTGTTGGTTATAAAACACAGCTAAAAGACCACAATAAAACGGCATTCAAACAATCTCCAAAAAGTTGGAGGGGTGGAATAGAGGCGGCCAATCGACTGAGGTAGAAGCGACGCAGGAGCAGAGCTCTCGGATCGCCTCTTCCCTCTGGGCAGGGCACCGCCTGAGCTCCCACAGCCCCGGCCTTCAGCAGCAGAGGTTGCTCCGGCTGATCCTGCTTAAGCACGCCAGGCCTTCCTAACCAGACTTCCCTCTGCTTCCCGAAGGCCTCCCAGCAGCTGCGCTTTATCCGACAGTGGTCCACGTTTGGCAAAGCTTTGCAGAAATCTGCCAAGGAACTCCTGGGCACGGGGCTGGCCTTCGTGATCCTGACGTTGGCTTACGCACAGCTTGGCTACCTGGTAAGGGGGGACCCCCAGAGAGAGAAAGAGAGAGGGGTGGCTTGGCGGACGTCGTCCCACAGGCTTCTCGGACGCTTCTGCTCTGCGTCTGGAGGGAGAGTAGAGCTGGGCCCTTTCCTTTGTCGGGCAGAGCCGTCTGGCACGTGGGAGCCCCTTCCCCTGCTTTGACCCTAAACGCGGGACAAACCCTTCCAGGTGCCTTCTTTACCGCCCTCGGCAAAATGCCTCCTCTTCCGGCTGACTGGGAGGGGTCAGCACGGTCCAGTTTAAACTGGGGTTTCTTCAACCCTGCCCTGCCAGAGGAGAGCTGGTTTTCCTCCTTGAATATCGTCAGCCTGGTTCTGCCGGCCGAAATCTCAGCACTGGTTAGGTCTGTTTTCCAGAGGGGGAGGCAGCCGCTCATCATTCCCCCGGCTCCTGACCGCCCCACCACTTCCTGTCTCCCCCACTCCTGAGAGGTCGTGCACCTTCTTTGTGGGTTGCCTTGTGTCACTCCCACCCCAACTCACTGCTCAGAAACGTTTTGCGCAGAACTCCATGTTGTATCACTGTGAAGGTGCCACATCCAGGGCGTTTGTGTTGACAGTCATCAGCTCTCTGTCCTCTTGTTTTACTAACCACCCAACAAATATAGACAAATACTGGGATTGTTGGGGTCAGGTGGCAGGTTGGGGGAGAGAACACCAGCAAGTTACTTAATTTTACTGGGGGAGGAATGAAAGGATGTGGTCCTGAGCGCCAGGCCGCCTTCCCGGGAGGGACCCCCTACCCAACCCGCTCACCGGCCTCCCTCTGTGCCTGCGCAGCTGTTCTCCTCCACCTCCAAGGGCTTCTCCAGCTTCTGCCGGGCGCTCCAGCTGTTTCTCACCGCCCTGCGCGGCGGCACGAGCCTCCACCTCCCGGGGCCCGCGGGGCTTCCCCACCTCTTCTGCGCCAGCTACGTTGTGCTGCAGCTCTGGTGGCTTTCGCGGCTCTTCCCTGTTGTGCTCATTCATCGTTACCGGGAGACTCGCTTCGAGATGTACCGGCCAGCCTTCGAATCGCAGGACTACGAGATGGTGGAGCTCTTTGTTCGGAGGCTCAAGATGTGGATGGGATTCAGCAAAGCCAAGGAGGTGAGCATCCTCCGCAGTTGGGGAGCCCTCTTCTCGCTGGCTCGGCTCAGCTAGGCTGGCAGGAACAGGACGGAACCCAGCTCAGAAGAGAAAGTCCAGGCTCTTCTTCCCCTCAGATGAAGGAGGGGCTCTGCCCCTTTTCCCGCTTTGTCCTGAGGAATCCCGTCTCTCTGGTAAAAACAGGTCAGCGCCTGCCTAAATCGCACCAGTTGGCATAATGGAAGGCTGTGTTAATCACGGAGGAGGTGGAAATCTCACCTTCATCCCGGAACGCTGTTCACCACTTGCTGCTTCTAGCAAGGTGACTGCCTGTCACACTGACGCGCCATCCCTCTCGGCGCTCTTGTTCCTCTGCCCGCAGGGTCAGGAAGCCATGACCGCAGGGGTGGTCCGAGTGTCACGGGGCAGCCCTGACGGTGCAAATGAAGCCCTTACCCTTTTTGTGGGCCTTGCACAAGTGACACACATCGAAGGGACAGGGCTTCAGTCAAGCCCTCGCAGCTGCCATCTTGACTTTTTTGACACTACTACAGCCCTGGATCCCCCTACGCAACCAGGCTTTTCATCAGTGGCAGCACCCAAATTGTTGAATTTGCCCCCAGGAGAATTTGGATTGATATCATGAAGGTTTTAGGAAGTAACGGAGGCCTTTTAGGCTGCCAAATTTTATTTTGTTGCTAAGTGGATTTATTTTTAGGCAGTTTTGGAGTGATTTAAGATTTTGTTTTATTTTGATTTAAATTCAGTTGCACTGATATGTGTATACATAGCTGTAAAATCTGTTTTGGGGCCAGAAGGCATTTTAGCCATGTTTTGGTAAACAAATGAAAGCCAATTAAACGCTGCAGCATCAGGCAGGGTCCTTGCCCTCCAGAGCTCCACTCCCTGCCTCCTCTTGCTGGGACAGGACTAGAAGCAAACGCTCAAGGAGCAGCCCTTCTCACCAGAGTTCCCATGAGTAGTTTTGCTTTCAAGGGGATCCCCATAGCTGGGCGGTCACTTCTTGCCTTTGATGAAGGGGAGAGAAGAGGGCTGGCCTGCACCGGGGCAACGTTCACCAAATGGCTCCCAGCCTCCGGTCCCCTCCGCACAAGGTTAGGTAGAAATGCAGATGCTCGGTGGAGAGCAGGACTTCAGACAGGGCAAAACAAGGGTGAGTAGATAAGCGGAAGGTGGGAGACTTTTCTAAGCCTTTGTTTTTAAGCACCTGTGCTATTCGGAGAATCTGGCTTCTCTGTAGGACCTTTCCTGTGCATCCGGGAATGTGTTTCCCTGCTGTGACGGCTTTCCTATTTCTGCTGATGCCAGTCACTGCGATCCGCCCAGGGACATGCAGATGGTGGGTGGTTGAGAGGGCCGTTAAAGCCTGCCGTGGCCCTTGGGGTCAGGCTGGGTCGCGTCCCGCCTGCTGAGACTCTTCTGCTCCTGCAGTTCCGCCACAAGGTGCGCTTCGAAGGGATGGAGCCGCTGCCCTCCCGCTCTTCCAGCCAGGACTCCCGGTCGTTGCAAGGACCCACCCCCAGCGCTGCGTCCGAGAGCTCCCGGGCCTCCACCTCCTCCAGCCAGCTGGACGGACTCAGCCTCACCGCCAGCACCTGCGACAGCACGGAGCTCGACGCGGAGGTCCAGCAGCTCCTCTCCCTCCTGGAGACTCTGCTCGCCCAGTTTGACCGGGTGAATGGGGCAACCGAGGATGTGTACAGCTTGGAGCGCCAGCTGGAGAGCAGCCGGAACTGGCAGGCCAGACGGAGGGGCAGGCCGAGGGCTGATTGGCCAGCGAGCCTTTCCCACCCTATCCACACCGCCCCCGGCTCCCTGTCTTGCGAGCTGGGCCCTGGCAGCAGGCCTGTCCTGCCCTCCCGGCCCCTGAGCAGCCCTGCAGCCTTCCGGATAGTCCACAGCGGTCCAGGCGCTCTGCTCATGCCGCAGAAGACGCTCGTGCCGGCAGCCAGGAGGAAGAGGCCTCTACGGGCCAACAACCGAGTCCACCCTACCAGCAAATAAAAGCAGATGGGAGGGCACTTGGTAGTCACAGCCTTAGGCCCTGGGCCCAAAGGATGCCTCCCTGGTCCCATTTGGGAAGCTGCATGTTGGCCCTGGAAGCCAAGGAGACACCAACTGGGCTTAGCGCCGCAGCCCCCCACGATGCCTCTTCTGTGCCTGCCGGGTGACACGGCAGCCTTTCCCTGGCTTTGGGCTTCTGCAGAGGCCCAGCAGCTCCTTGTGGGTTTCGTGCAGAAGGGGAGAGCCAGGGAAGGCCAGGTCAGCTGTGAGAAGAAAAGGAGTCTGGGAGGGTGAGAGCAAAAAAAGTGTTATTTTTCACAGAAGCTTTACAGCAAATGAAACCAGGTTTTGTGTGTGTGTGTGTGTGTACGTGTGTATGCTTTTAATGCAACCCGTTCATTTCTTGTGAGTCTGCTCAAGGGAGGAGCTGGACAATAATGGTGAAGAATTCCACCGATCACCAGGCTGAGCCTGGAGTGGAATAAGATATTTATCCCTGAGTGGAGTCGGTCCCGTTTTGTGGAGAAGCTGGACTTTGGAGAAGGAACAATGCAGGGTTCGAAGGGCAAATTCCCACTCATTGGAATGGAGTGTTTTGAAAGCATCTCCCCCCCGCCCCCCGCCAGCTTTAGCTTTTGACATTTCATTATTATTTTAGGTATATGTATTATGTAAAACAATCCAAAGATACTGTCAATGTGAGACTTAAAAAAAAGGATCCCTGTTTTTGACCAATGTGCAGTTGAAGCCTCTCCTCTGCCAGTCTTGAGGATGGCAAAGACCATTTGATGGGGCTAGAATCTAACAAGGTTTGGACACTGATTATTTTGAGGAAGGTGGAGTGGGGGACTGCTGCGTGGAGAGGGACCCCGTGAGCTGGTTTCACCAGGGTTTCGTTCCAGCAGGCTGTTCTCCATTAAAGCAGTTGGGTGCGGTTATGTGTATTATGCTGATTGCATAATTTTATAGTCTGAGGATCATGACTGAGTTTATTTTTATTGGGTTTGTGTGTATGTATGTTTGGGTATGCATGAATGAAAATATATATATATATATTTTCATTCATATAGTTTACTAGTTGTATTTACTGCCAGCACTTTAATCTATGCTTGCCTTAGCTACCAATGACACATGCAAATTTTAAAGAGCAGGATAATATATCATGGAAGCAGTATTTTTGTTTCTTGTAGATCATAATTTGAAACAGGCCACTGGACTATGACCACAGTTGGGCACTTGTTCCCATGTCTTGGGAGCGATCCCCGGGACTCCCGCCAAGGTAGCAGCCTGGAATTACTGGAATGGTTCCAAGCACTGAGGGAAGATGGACGAGGACGAAGGGGGTCATCTCTTAGCTAACGCAGTTGTGTACCTGGCGTACACAAACGAATGCTTGCAAATCAGGGTGGTGGGGAACCAACTCCTCCACTCATCAATCATTTCCTAGCTCCCAGATCAGAGCCCGCCCATGCTACCTTTGTGGCCAGATGACCATTGCAGTCCGGGCCCTGAATGTTCCCGAGATAGCCCAGGCCCTGATCGCAGGCAGGGCACGGAGAGCCCTCGTGGTCACTCCTGCTCCCGTCCAGGTGCCTTCCTTGTTCCACGAGGACTGGAGGGAGGACTGCAAGAGGCCCCTGGGGGGACCCGAAAGCAAGGCACAGGTAGCTCCTTCCGAGTCATCCCTTTGCTCTAAACCCTTCCGCTGAATGCTACGGCTGGTCCGTGCTTCTCTGGAACCTCACGCGGGGGGCGGGGGGGAGGCAACCCCTCTTTCTTCTTTTTCTGTGACAAATCCCATCATATTCCAGTGGCCAGTTTAATGTTATGTGTATTATAAATAATTTATATGGGATTTTTACAAGAGGAAAAATGTATATTTTTGTATGTTTGCGGTTTTTATAGCATTGGTATTGTGCTCACATGTGTAGATGGGAGTTATTTAAAAAAAGGTTACATCAAAAGCCTTCTTGCTTAAATACTGCTGGCGTGTGGGCAAAGCAATGTATGGGATTTGCCAAATGAAGTTTGGGAGATGTTAGGGCAGGAGGCAGGACCTCCCAGCAGTGCACTAGTTCGAATTCCTGCAAGGCATTGCTCAGTCCAACAGGAACTCCGGTCCCAGAGGCCCCTCCCAATTGGTTTCCCAAAACTTCAAAACACTGTCAGT